ACTTTCATAAAGATTTGTAGCCTTTGAAACCCAATGATGTTTGCTATGGGGGTTGAAGTTGACTTGATAGCAGTGTTTTTTTTTTTTTTTTTTTTCTTTTAACAAGAAGGTAGTAAGAAGGTAAAAAGTATTATTTGAATAAATAAAGTGCTAATAATAATGGTAATAATCATAATAATACCATATGACTGTTGAGAGTATTACATAAAATGATGCACAGGGAATGCCTGAGATAGAGTATGTGCTCAACAAAAGTAGTGGATATTAGGAATAATCACTTACTACAGATTTAGACATAGAATACATTGATGTAAAATCATTTAAATTAATAAAGAACTGTCTTTGACAATTCTACTTTTGTCTTTTTATTACAGAAATTAAAAATATATTAAGAGGAATGTTAAAACATATGTGTCACTGACTTCCAGTAAGATGGAGGAACAGGCAGACAAGTGACACAGACCCTCTTCAACAAAGAAAAGAAAAAAACAATTGACAGAGATACAGAAGATAATCCTGGAACCAGGAACTTTGAAATGAACTATATAGAAGTGGATTAGGCACCAATTAGTGGAAAAACCTGAATGAAAACAGTGAGTACAGAGATGGTTGGAGCTGCAGAATGTCAGCTACTCTGACGAGACAAACAGCCTGAATATTTCCAAGTGGTGTTGGGACCTGAGAATTTACCTAAAGATCAGTCCTGGTCACCAAGGGCTGCAGGGACAACTTCTCTGGTGGCCTATGACTATGAAGAGACAAAACAAGGAGGTGTGGACTTTCTGCTGTCCAGAGGGTGCAGCCATTTTTATTGTTTACACATGGCAGCCATTTTAGATATTTATAATTACTGAGAGCACAGCCATTTTGAATGTTTACAAGGGGCAACCATTTTGGATTTTAAACTGATAGCATTCTCATTTGGATTCCAGGGACCTGAGAACAGGCTCTGTTTGCCAGGGTCAGCAAGGACATAAGAGGGGCTAACAAAAGAAAGGAGACAGGTGGTGAGTGTATAAGTGCTGTCAACTAGTTAATAAAGGAGCACAGCATAGTACCCTGCCTGTATAGATAACACACAAACAAAACTAAAATGAAAATTGTGGGAAAGTCACACAACATATAATCACCAATTAAATATAGACACAAAAACGTCACAATGCCTCAGAAACAACAGAACATCACAGTCCACACAAAGAAGCAAGATAAGGCAGGAGAAACAAGGGACCAGGACACAGACCCAAAACACATCCCTGAGGAAGACACAGCATTGTAACTCTCTAATAAGAAATTCAAAAGAATTATATTTAGGTGTCTTCAAAGGATTGAGAGACAGACCAAGGAAAACAGACAAAACCATAGAAGAATTTTGGAAGAAAATACAAGAACAAAATGACAACATAAATGAAAAATTAGAAATGATTTGAAATCTACAGATAGAAATCCAGAAGATTAATACTAAATTGTCAGAAATAGATAACACATTGAAAGGGCAAGGGAGTAGAATTGATGCAATGTAAGACAGAATTAATGAGTTTGAAGACAAATACCTGAATGCTTCTTTGGAAAGGGACCAATCAGAAAAAAGATCAAAACAAAATGAAGAAAGCTTAAGGTTCATGTGGGATACTATCAAAAGGAATAACCTACATGTCATCGGAATTCCAGAACAAGAAGAGAAAAATGAAACCACTGAGAAAATTGTCCAAGATTGGTTGGAGGAGAACTTCCCTGATATGGTGAAAGATGAGAATATATCCATTCACGAAGTACAATGAACCCAAAACAGGATAGATCCCAAAAGAAAAACACCAAGACATATCATCATCAAACTCACCAAAACCAAAGACACAGAAAGAATCATGAGAGCAGTATGGGGAAAAACAAAAAGTTACCTACAAGGGGCAACCAATAAGACCAAGCTTGGATTTCTCAACAGAAACCATGCAGGTGAGAAGACATGGGATGGTATATATAACACTAAAAGAGAAAAATTTCCAACCAAGAATTATGTACCCAGCAAAATTGTCTTTTCATTATGATGGTGAAATTAGGATACTTCCAGATAAGTAGAAATTAAGGGAATTTGTTAAAGCCAGACCAAACTTACAAGAGATGCTAAAG